TTCTGTCATCCCCTCCACCCAATTAGTCTCCTGTTTTTTGTTTTTTTTTCCCAGCGATGCTCTAGTGACCTCTTTGGGGAATGACCTGTGTCTGAGGCGGGGGTGGTGGTTGTTTTTCACACCAGAGGCCCCCCCTTGAGCTTGTCTGGTCACACCCACCACTCTGGGTGGGGCTCTGCCAGGCTGCTGGTCCGCCGGCTCCCAGACCGTCCCTCTGACCGGGTCCTTGGGTCTGAATGGGGGGTTGCATGCCCCAAGCTGAGTGGTAAGCAGTGGAGGAGAGGGCCTTTCCCTACCTCCCTCCTTCTGCCCACCCCCCACCTCACCGGAATGACTCTGGGGGGTTGCTTGATGAAACTCAGGAATTTTAAGATGAAACACAAACGTCCCTTGGGCTCTGGACGTGGAAGAGGCTGGATTTAGCTGCTCAGGAGGTTATCCCAGCTCCACCATCCTACTACTTTTCTTGTTTTTTAAAATACATTTTTATAGAATTTTTTTTACAGAGAGGAAGGGAGAGAGAAACATGGATGAGAGAGAGTCATCGATCAGCTGCCTCTTGCACACCCCCTACTGGGGATGTGCCCGCAACCAAGGTCCATGCCCTTGACCAGAATAGAACCGGGGACCTTTTCAGTCCGCAGGCCAACGCTCTATCCACTGAGGCAAACCAGTTTCAGCAACTTTTATTTCTTTTTTTAAAATATATTTTTAATTGATTTCAGATAGAGAAACATCAATGATGAGAGAGAAAATCATGGATTGGCTGCCTCCTGCACGCCCCCTAGGAAGATCTAGCCTGCGGTTGGAGCATGTGCCCTTGACTGGAATCGAAACTGGGACCCTTCAGTCCATAGGCCAATGCTCTCTGTCCATTGAGCCAAACCGGAACTAGGGCTCCACCTGCTTTTCTTGCCTGGGTTTAAGAAAATCTCTTACTGCTAAGCCTTCTGAGTGTTTCACAAACACAAACAAAAAAACCAAGCCATCTGTTATGTTCTGAACATGTACGTACATAAGCTTCTTGCTGAACTTGACAGCCATGAATACCTTGACAGCATGCTTCTGAGTAACCGCGACTTAACTGTGTGGAATCGGGGAACATCTATCACTAATATGTTATCTCCTTAGCGTATGCAGGTGCTGTGCATATTTCTCTAGGTGGCACTCAGTCTATACCTAAGGCATTCCAAGGCTCAGAGATGATACCTAAGTGGTGAACATAGTGTACGTACTTCAACGCCTGTTTTGTTTTTTCTGTTTTGCAAAAACAGTGAGTCACAGTTTTGGGGAGAATTCTTCCCCTGTGGAAAAAGGGGGTGCTTTTTTCAGACGGCAGTCTCCCCTCTCTTCCCTTCTCCTTCAAGGATGATTACCAGAGGAAACCACTGTTTTTCATGATGGGAGGGTCATAATCTGCTGGAAAAGAAGAAAATGGATGCTTGCTAAATAATAGCTTGTATTGCTGAAACCGGTTTGGCTCAGTGGATGGAGCGTTGGCCTGCGGACTGAAAAGTCCCAGGTTTGATTCCGGTCAAGGGCATGAACCTTGGTTGCGGGCATGTCCCCCAGTAGGGGGTGTGCAAGAGGCAGCTGGTCAGTGATTCTCTCTCATCGATGTTTCTAACTCTCTATCCCTCTCTCTTCCTCTCTGTAAAAAAATCAATAAAATATATTTTTAAAAAATAATAGCTTGCCTTAGCAGAGACTCCTCCTGAACCATTCTCTTTCTGACATGTACACCTAGTTTTACCTTGAGGTCATTTTTTAAGCCAGTAACTGTTTAAGAATGGTTGTTTCACTTCTCTAGCATTGCTGATGGATTATTTCTCCCTGTTAATCCGTGATTCACAATAGCACTAAGGTTTGCCTTCTCTTGTCTTTGTCTTAAAGCCTCCTACTTTCCTGTCCGTAGTGAAAGACCAAATAAAAGTTTTAAAAAGTTAAAAAACAAAACAAAACAAAACAACACACGTTGCAAATAGTCTCACTTAATGGCAATACTAGAGGCCTCGTGCATGGCCAGGTGGGGTCCCTCGGGGTGGCCTGTGGAGCTCAGGCCCCAGCTTGAGCCCCCAACCTTGCAGCCCCGCTGGACAACCTACCCTCACCTGCTCCACCATCCCGCCTGTGCCACCCCCTGGTGGTCAGCCCACGTCATAGTGAGAGGTTGAACTCTTGGTGGAAAGGCTGCCCAAGGGGCAATTTGCATATTAGGCTTTTATTATGTAAGATAGGATATGCCAAAAATCCCAGAGAAAGCTATAAGGCAGTATAGAATAACCTTGGGGGAAAATATGGGTATGAACTCAGACCTATAAAGTGATCCAAGTCAGACAGACTATACAAAGTAATGGGTCTATAAGTAGAGGGGCGGATAGAAGAGTGTATTTTGAAAATGAAAACTGAATTCATTTCACTGGAGAGTTTAAAAAAGATCCCTGAAATCTGTGGTTGGTTCAGGTTTTAGGCAGTCTGATGTCTACTGTGTTTCTAGTCTTTGAGTTAAACTTTTGTAATCAATGGACCAGCAAGATTAGACATGGAAAGACTTGGGGTCTACAGAGGAATAGTTGGCCAGGGTCTTCGGTGCCTTTTTCTCCTTTGTGAGCCAATAGATCCTTTTTCTTCAGGGGCCCTCCTGGTGGCCTCTGACCCCTGGGTGTCATAATAATGACACTCCTGATAGCCAACTTCCATTTGTTCAGCACATAATCATGTACCAGGTACTGTGACTAGCATGTTCTGTTCTGGATTCACAAAATCCCTGTGAGATGGCGTTACTATTCTATTCCTGTTGTACACATAAGGGAGGTTGGAGTACTGTTCCCATCTGACATTGCTGGCTTTGGTCTCCCCTCCCCCCTCGCTCTCCCATCCCTAATTGGTTACTCAAGGCAAACAGTTGGGTAGTTACTGATGTGATTATGCCATCTATCTATATAAAAGAGTAATATGCAAAGTGTCCCCTTGGGAGCTCGACCGGGAGATGGGGAGTTTGATCGCTCGATGTGACATGCACTGACCACCAGGGGATGGCGCTGAATGAAGGCAGGCCCTGGCTGACAGCCGGCTGCCGGAGAAGGAAGGCCCCAATCAGCCCTGATCGCTGGCCAGGCCTAGGAACCCTACCCATGCACGAATTTCATGCACCAGGCCTCTAATTTGGGTATAAATGGAATACTTCATTTACCTTTATTCTAATTCCAGTGTCCTCTGCCTCTCTCACTTGTGAACATAAGAGGAGGGGAGGGAGGGAGGGAGTTATTCAGATGTCATTGGCTTTGGGTTTGGAGGTTGTGGTGTATGTAGTAACAGGATTGGGAGTGGGGCACTGTTGGACAGGCATACTCCTAATTAGGTTTGTAAAGACTGCTTCAGATAGAGACTCAGACCTTCCCTTCTCCCTGGGGAAGATTTTCCCAGAGGCCTCCAGGTCTGCATCTTTCCCCAGGCAATCGGGGCACTTCCCTCCCTGGCTCTCCTGCCTCCATCTCTCATGGGGCTGCTCATTGTCCCTTGTAACACTCACATATTGTTGTCACTGACCTTCCTGTAAGTGTGGCCAGGATCTGTTGTAGCAAATAAAAATTAGGTTTATATAAATATGAATATGAATATGAATATAAATATATATATATATATGGAGGGGGGCCTTTTACAGTTTGGAAATCTCTGTGGTTGAAGGTTGGTGGTACTCTTTCCATTTCACAAACGGGGAAACGGAGGCACGGGAGTTAACTGCCAGTAAATGGCCAGAACCATGCTTTTTAAACAAATGTATTGAGATAGAAGTTACATAACCATGAAGCTCACATTTCAATGTGCAATTCAATGATATTTAGTATGTTTACAGAGTTTTGCAGTCGTAATCCAATGAGGTGTTTTCATCATCTCAGAAAGAAACCTCATCTCCATTAGCCGCCACCACCTAATATTTCTCCCCCCCCCCTCGTTGAAAGCAACCAATCTGCTTTAGACTTGCTATTTTTATTCTGGACGTTTTGTATAAATGGGCGTATAGAATATATGGTCCTTTATGACTAGCTTCTTTCACTTAGCCTAATGTTTCCAAGGTTTATCAATACAATAACTTGTATCAACACTTTGTTCCCTTTTATTGGGAAATAATATACTACTGCATAGACATACCCCAGGCTCTGAACCAGATCTGTCTGGTTCTTAAACTCCCCTCACTGCTACCTTGCCAAGGTAAATCCCTTTACTGTAGAAGGCTCTTGAGGCAGTTTCTCAGGGCACCTTACTCACAGTAAACACTAATTAAAGTATCGTATCTAATCAAAGAGTAATACACAAATTGACCATCACTCCAACATGCAAGATGGCTGCCCCCATATAGACACAAGATGGCCAGCAGGGAGGGCAGTTGGGAGGGACCAGGCCTGCAAGGGAGGGAGGTTGGGGATGACGAGGCCGGCAAGGGAGGGCAATTAGGGGTGACCAGGCCGGCAGGGGAGGGCAGTTAGGGTCAAACAGGCTGGCAAGGGAGCAGTTGGGCATCAATCAGGCTGGCAGGAAAGTGGTTGGAGGGTTATCAGGCTGGCAGGCAGAAGCAGTTAGGGCAATCAGGAAGGCAGGCATGCAGGCAAGCAGTTGGGAGCCAGCAGTCCTGGATTGTGAGAGGGATGTCCGACTGCCCGTTTAGGCCTTATTATTTTTTCATTAATCATCGCCAGAGACTCCCCCTCACCCCCCATTGCTTGTCAGAGAGAGTGGAAGGGAGGTGGGGAGAGAGAGACAGACAGAAAGACAGACTTCGATGTGAGATCTCACATGGCCCAGTTGCCTCCTGCACGCTCCTGGCGAGCAATTGTGCCCTTGACCGGGAAGCGAATCTGCGACGCTCTAACCATTGGGAACACCAGCCAGGGCCCAATCCTTATTACTGTAGCTCCTGCTGTGGGGTTGAGGGAAAGGGGGTGAAAGTCTCTCTCTGTCCTAAAGGAGCGTAAACCCGGACATCTTTGTTCTGTGCCTAGGAGGAGGGAGGAGGAAGTATAAAAGACGGCTGCGACCGCCAGGAAGCCCAGGCCCTCTCCACATGCAGCAATGCCAGTATCTTTCAGAAGATAAACGCCATATTGGATAACTCTCTGAATTTCAGTGGCGTCTGCACCACACCCACCAACCAAGAAGTTCATGATCATTTGCCATGTGAGTGGGGTTTGAACACCCAGGATGCCCTGGGCCAGTGTGCGGCGCTGTTTCTAGGCAACCTCCTTGCGAAGCCTGTGAGGAGAACGGCCTTGACTCTCCACCAGCATTTGCCCCTCCTTTAGTTTCCTTTTGTGGGTCCCCCTCTGAGCAAAGACTGCCTTTGATTACAATATAGAATTTTATGATGCTCAAGAAGACTGGGTAAGAAAGGACAGGCCAGAAGTGACAGGACTATTTACATGGGGAATTACAGTGCATATCACAAGCGATTATAGATTTTTCTGGTAGCTCCATTTTTAAAAAGGTGCCCAGCTGGTGTGGTTCAATGGTTATGCTTCAACCCGTGAACCAAGAGGTCATTACTCACTTCCAGGTCAGGGCACGTGTCTAGGTTGGGGGTTCAATCCCCAAGAGGGGCCATGCAGGAGGAAGCCAATCAGTGATTCTCTCTCATCATTGACTAGTGATCTGGTGCACAAAATTCGTCCATATAAAAGGGATTGATTAGAGGAAATGTTTTAATACTACTATTTGCCCTTTCTCTATATTAGAAGTGTCAGAGATGAAAGAAAATTAGTAAAATGTATATGAAAATCTACCTGCTGTCAGAGTCTGGGGTATGTCTCGGGACCCTGAGTCAAGTCTCTGTACACCCACAGCACCTAAAAAATCTCATGAGACCTGGCCCCAGCCAGCCCCACCCCCACTGGGTGAGATCCAGACTTAGCTGGCCCCACCCTCGTCAATCCCCACCGGGCGGGGCCACAGCCTCAGGTCCCCAGTCAAGCTCCATCAGTTGGGGGGCACAGCTTCAGGGCCCCTGTCAAGCCCCTCTGGGTGGGGGACACGGCCTGAGGCCCCCCAGCCCCCCCCAGTTCGGGCAGGGTGTGCGCCTTGAGGTTTCCCATCAAGCCTCTCTGGGTGGGGGGCATGGCCTGAGGTCCCTTGGCCCAGTGTCGGGGTGGGGGTGTGTGGCCTGAGGTCCCCCATTAAACCCCTCTGGGTAGGGGATGCAGCCTAAGTTCCCCCGGCCTGACACTGGGGTGGGGGAGGGTGCAGGCTCAGGTGCCATGCCCCAGCCCAGTACCACACAGCCTCGAGTCCCTTCTGATTGCTCCTGAAGACTCATTACTGTGGATGCAACCATCTTGTGATACGGAAACCCTGCCTCTGCTGTGGGTACTGCCACCTTTGTGATGGTGTGATGGTCAATTTACATATCCCCATTTATTAGATAGGATGTTTCTATCTCCCCTTCTCCCTTCCTTTCTCTTAAAATCAATAAAAAATTAAAAATCATTTTTAATTAAAAAGTTCAAAGGGTGAAATTAATATTTTTTTGATTCAACATATACAAAATTTTTTTTTAATATTTTATTGATTTTTTTTTTACAGAGAGGAAGGGAGATGGATAGAGAGTTAGAAACATTGATGATATTGAAACATTGATCAGCTGCCTCCTGCACACCCCCCAACTGGAGATGCGCACGCAGCCAAGGTACATGCCCTTGACCAGAATCGAACCTGGGACCCTTCAGTCTGCAGGCCAACACTCTACCCACTGAGCCAAACCGGTTAGGGCTATACAAAAAATTTGATAGCATATAATCAATATAAAGCCATTAATGAAATACTGTTTCTTTTGTTAATATAAAGACTTCTAAATCCAGTGTATATTGTGCATTTACAGCACAGCTCAGTTTGAACTGCATGCGTTTGGAGTGCTCAATAGCCAGATGTAACCGGTGGCTACTGTATTGGATGGTGCAGCTCTTGCATATTTTAGTTGCTTTTAAATATGAGTGCAAGTCAACGCAAATGGGTTCTTATGATACTGAATTTAGGATGACTCCACAGAGCAGTTCTGCATCTCCTGAGGAGGACACTTCCCAGGGAGGCTTGGTGCTTCATAATATTTGTGTGTGGGAGGTGCAGCATGTTCTAAGAACACTGATGGAATGTTTTTTTGACTTATTTTATGTGAACATGTAAATTTTTAATTTTGTAAGGTGATCTTGGAGGGGGGGAATGTGGAAACAACAGGGATTTTAAAGGACGAGTGATTGCTGATGTTTAGTGATAAGTGCTTTATTTTTTAACTTGTCCTTGGAAATAATTCCCAGGAAGATGCAGGAGTATGTGGACATAGAGCAGCTACTACTAAATGTTTGAGGGAGACCGACTTGTGGTAATTGTAGAATTTGTTTATATTAAATTATACTGGAGGGCAATTGAGAGAATGTCACTGAGGACCAGAGGATTCTGTCTTTTCTAACTTCCAAAGAAGTATACTAGATATGTTATATTTTCTGTTCATTGGAATAAGTCATGGCCTAAACCTCATTCCACTCTAACTTAGGCTGAGTTAAGAATTCAGAGAATCTGCTTGGTTCTATGTACATGCTCTGTTTTTCTCCTTTGAGAAAATTGTACGAATTCTATTCCAGCAAGAATGACAGTCAACAATGGCTTAATTCTCACTGGGTTACTTCACATAAGCTGGAAACTTGTAGTTTCAAGGGACCCCACGGAATTGGAGGGAAAGCTGTGGTCAAGTAGCTGATGATCTGAGCCCTTCACACACACACTTTGCCCCCACTTGTGGCCAGCCCTCTCCCCATCCCCACCGGAGATGTTCGCTCCGAGGCGGCCTGGCCCAGAGCAGAGGTCGGCTTTCCCAGGTTCCCCCAGCAGAGCTCCTGCCGGGGGGGGGGGGGGGGCGGGGGGGGCAGCCCGTGAAGACCGTTCTCTAGTCCTTCTGCCCTTTTCTCACTCCCTGAGGAGCAGGGAATGTGATGAGAGATTTCTAAACGCCCTGGACTGTGTGGTGCCATCCCCACCTGCTGGCATGTCAGGGCTCTGCCACTGAGAGCTTCAGGCTTGATGCCCCAACCCCAGGTAGGGTGACTCCCACTGGAGTGTGTGCATTCAGCGTCTGAGTGCAGGTGTCTTAGGTCTTTGTGGCTGAAGAGGCAATGAGCACACTGGCTGGGGAGAGGGCACCGTGCAGAGGCCCAACCAGGCCCAACGCTTCTGGGATCAATACTAGGAAGGCTGTTTCTGCTCTGAAATGAGGGGCTTGAGCTAAATGGACTCCCAGTTCCCTTCTATTCTGTGGTTTACTGTATTACAACAGAAGTACAGCCTAATTTTATATCGTTAGTGAACTCATGTCCAAGTTAAAAATCTTTCAGTATAAAATCTTTCTTTACAAAAATTAGGAAAAATTTTCAAATTCATTTAGGGGATGTTAAATCTTTGTGTGTGTGTGTGTGTGTGTGTGTGTGTGTTCTTGTTACAATATGTTCCTTGTAAAAAAATTTTGAAGAAAACAAGTTAGAAGGGAAAAAAATTTATACATAACCCCACTACTCTGTGCTGTTTTCCACAGTGGCTGCACCAGTCTGCATTCCCAGCTGCAGTGCAGGGTTCCCTTTTCCCCACATCCTCACCAGCACTTACTGTTTGTTGATTTATCTTTAATGCTTTTCGTGCACTTGTGAGATTACCTTCCATGAATAATGTTCTAATTGACTCCCTTTCTGTAGTACTTGAAAAAAACATTGCTTTTTAAAATCTCTTAAGTTTTCTATTCTGTGACTCTACTGTGATTTGGCTCTGTCAGGGGTCTTGAATTTGCTGTCATGTCTGCACACCTGACATTTGAACACTGTAGAACCAGGTGTTTGGATTATACTAATTTTATTTAAAAACTAGAGGCCTGATGCACAAATTCGTGCACCAGCGGGGTCCCTCAGCCTGGCCTGTGGGATTGGGCTGAAACAGGCTCTCCAATATCCCCCGAGGGGTTCCAGAATGTAAGAGGGCAGAGGCCAGGCCAAAGGACCCCACCAGTGCACGATCAGGGCTGGGGAGGGACACGAGAGGTTGGCCAGCCGGGGAGGGACTGCAGGATGACTCCAGGGCGTGTCTGACCCTCTTGCTCCGTCTGGATGGGCAGGACCCCAGCAGCAAGCTAACCTACCAGTTGACTGCCTTCTCCCTGGTGGTCAGGGCATGTCATAGTGAGCAGTTGAACGGCCTTAGCATATCATTATCATATTACGCTTTGATTGGTTGAATAGCCGGCGGGACACTTAGCATATTAGGCTTTTATTATGAAAGGATTTGGACAGCATGCTCTATTCCAGGACTGGAGTCTTCAAGACATTCTGCTTCAGAAACTCCCATCCTGGGAGCCGTAGGTCAGGTGGAGCTGGAATTGGGTCTGTCTGCTCTCTGCTGGTGTACATGGGATATGCACATGGCAGTGGAATCCTGGAAGCACTGGGATGTGAAGTGAACATTCTGCTAAGTAAGCAGGGGGTGGGGGTCGTAGGGATGGGGAGGAGCTGGCATTAAAAAATGAACTGCTGGTAGGATGGATTCAGTAGTGCTCCATGGGGGCCTATGTGGAGAACAGAGAAAGGATCCGTGAATAATTTTATGACATGATTAATTTCTTAAGTCTGAGGTGTGATGGTGTAAGTGTAGACCTGGGCTGAGCAAGTGCCGCAGGACAGAAGAGAGAGGCAGGAGACCAGGGACCTGAATTACACACACAACACTCTTACCTGCAAATGATCCAACACCTAATTAGAGCTAACTTTAGCCAAATGTGGGATGTGTCGGGAAGGCTTTTGGTATATAGGTCACAGGGTAAGAAAAAACACACACAAAAAACCTTTGAAAAATTAAATTGGTAGCCTCCACTTTTGTTAAGACTGCCTCTTTGCTGCATCTCTCCGAGGGAGTTTCCTGTTCATCTTTTACACAGTTTCCTACCACCTGAGAAAGGGGCCTTGCTCACATCCCCTGGTGCCATAAAGTCAGGAAGTGGATCTTCCTCCACCAGATACAACTGGGAAAATCTCAAGGAAGGGCTGCCCATGAGCTTGGCTTGCAGTGAGCCCATAGCCAGGTGGGTCTCTGTAACCATAGCCATGGGTTCTTATGGCCGGGGCTGGGTCAGATCTCTGGACCTTTGCAGTGATCAT